TATTTATTTTTTTTGCACCGTATGCAGATATTGCAAAAAGTTAATTAAAGGGCAATTTGTGAACTTCTGCTGAAAATATCCTCTTAAAGATAGCTTTTTTGGCAATCGCTTTCGCATTCTACTTGGTGTATACCACAAAAATACACGCGGCAAAGTGATAAGTAGAACTCAAAATGTTCCTGATGGATCGTAATTTTTTGAAACACTTAAAATAGTGATACAAGTTGTTATCCTCTGCTGGAATAACGATTGGCATACTACCTGGCCAGTTTTTATTTTTCCCGGACAACCACTGCTTTCCCCAGCTGACCAGCTTGTAAGCGTATAGTAACTTTCTTCTTATACCTGATAATTTTTATAAAAATAATACGTTTTGTGATAAGTTTTATAATTAAAACTTCAATTGTGAGTTAAACCAAATTGCTTTCAGAAAGACTCTCCCCATCTCATCTCTGCTCCTCCTACTAAAAAGTCAACAGAAGCCGACCTCAATTCAAGCTCCAACCACAATCACCAACCCCCCTCTTCACCTTTCAGCCCCCCAGTTGACATATTCGGCAACCCAGCAGACAGCTGCAAAAATTTCAACGGCGGGTAAAATAAAAATTGTTTTTAAAATCTTTTCTCATGCATTACAAAAAAGCATGAAATTTAATCAATAGTTGAGAACTTTTCAAAACTGGGCAATAAAGCTTTTTTTTCGTTCTTGCCGAGGAGTGTTGAACTCAAAGTTTATTTAGCTAATTTTTAATCATTTTCTTGAACATCATTTTGAACACAGAATGTACCCGAAATGTATATGATAATGTTAGAAATTGACCAAACCCTTGATTTAGCTGTTGTTTAATAATAAAAAATGAACAGCGAAATTTTTATTTTATTCTTGTTAGGCTGCAAATGGCAACTCACCGTCAATTGACGAATACGGCTCACGGTGGGTTCTAAAACCACTCAACTTTCAATTGAAAAATGAAGCCCGTTTCCTATGAGTTTCATTAAGGCAGCTCATTTTCTACTGTGACATTGAATGTGAGATTCGGATATCTTCCTTTTGGTTATTCGATATTGTGCTTCAGTCCCAAAAACTTCGCCCAGCAGCCAACAATTGTCAACGATATACGAGACTGTCCGATTGAGCTCCCCCACTACAATGGAGGAGTTAATCACGTGGGGGGAGACATAGGGGCCGCTAAACTGGGGGGCAATTTCCACCATGAGCGGGTGAACAAAGTGGATGCGTATGCTATTTTTCAGTATAAGACACGCAATTATGGGCTGTTGTCGAAAGAGGAAATTGTAAGTTTTTTTTTATGCAAATGATTGGTTTTTAAGGCATCTCACGTATCATGGCGTGCATAAACAAAAACCAAAACCACCAACTTCATTACGCTTTTCAGAAAATTTGCTTAGAATCAAGAAATTTTTGATCTGATTGAAACCAGGTCAAACTGCAAAAGGATAAAATAAAATAAAATATCTTTTCTTGAAAAAAATCTTCTGCTTCATTTATCAGTCTAGTTTCTGACCCCTCTCTCCAAATTTTTTGAACGGTACTTATTTTCATAATTTCTAAAACGCTATGGAGTTCTGACATCGAGGCAATGTTCCATGGAGAAAACATACAGTGGATTACATGAAAACATACAGCGGAAAAACAAAAAAGTTATTATAGATTTCCTTGTCTTTTCATAATTCAAACAAAACATCATACCCCAAATTTGGAATATATACAAGTTTTCGTAATATGAAAATTAGAAATTGGAAGACGATCCAACCTGTCCAAGCATTTTAAATTTTTATCAATTTCGCTTTTTCAGACTGAGTTATTTTCTTGAGAGAAGTTCTTTTTTGCGGCTATTAAAGATATCGGGTATGGCACAATATTTAGTGTGTGCTGCAACACTGCATGTGTGAATTGAGCAAAGTCAGTCCTCAATCGGCCCTCTATGACCTTGAACTGGAGGTGTACACTGAGTCCAACGGGGGATCCAACTTCGGATTCTTATCTGGCAGTGGTGCCAACAGATTCGTGGCTGTCTACAATGAGTACAAGGATCCAGGGATATACTTGTTTCAAATCAGACATTCTAGACTTGAATTTGAATGTGGCGCATTTCAGCCCACTATTACCCGGGTTGATAAAAATGCTTATCATTATATATCATATTCTGAAAAAAAAGCTTATCATACTATTTCATAGACGAAAAAAAAATTATCAAAATAGCATGATAAACATTTTTGCCATACTATGAAATATTATGATAGGCATTTTTTCCATACTATGAAATTGTATGATAAGCATTGTTTCCATGAATGTAAATACCAAAAAATATCGGTTGGGAAGTTTTGTGTTTCATTCGAAACACTAACCCTGGACTTTTTGTCATAAGCAAACATAGAGTATAACTGGCAGTTACCACGCAGTTAAACTGCATTTGGTGATTTTACCACTCAAGTTAATTTTTACATTTTCACATGGAATTATATACCAAAAATGTAACTTTTTGAATATGGCTTGATAATTTTTGGCTTTAAATTTTTGGTAGTTGAGAGAAAAAAGGCCTGTTTTTTTTACAAATTTATTTTTATCCTAGCAAATGAAATATCAAAATCATAATCGTGTTCATAAAAAATTTTTTTTTTGTTATTTTTGGATTTTTTGGGTGAAAAACTTATATAAACACAAAAAGTCAAATTTTGCATGGAAAATTTTTTTTTGCAAAGTTATATTTGAGCACAAAAGCAGTTTTGCAACCAAAAAAGGGATTAAAAATTTTTTACCTCAAAATTGTGTTTTTTGCCAATGAAAAAATGCATATCATACAATTTTCATACATGAAATTTATATGATAAGCCTTTTTTTCACCAAAACTAACATCATGTTTTTGAGAATCCAAATGCATTCTTTAAATAAATTTTTTTTCTAAAACTCATGTAAGTTCATCCAGAAACATCGTTAAATTGATTTTGAAGATTTTATTTTTTCTAGAGCATAATGCTTATCATACAATTTTCATATGTGAAAATACTAGGATAAGCATTTTTTTAAACCAAAATTAAAATCATGTTTTTATTGAGCAGAAAGATTCAAAAGATGGAAATAGAACAGAAGTATTTTCTCTAAAAACGTTTAATATAGTTTTAATATTTTGTATGAAAATTGTATGATAATCATTTTTTCCATAGTCGCCATATATGAAATTGTATGATAAGCGTTTTTCTCTTAAGGACGTCATCCCGGGTACTTTTAGTGGCAAAATTTATTGCTCAAAATTTTTAATGGAAGATAGTCAATTTCAAGCAAGAAAGTTTTTTCGGAGCCAAAAAATTTAAATTATGGGCTAAAAAACCCAAAAAAAAAAACGTTTTTTTTTTACAGAAACACTTGCCATCAACAGCTCATTTTAACGGCTCATTTTTACATTCATCAAACAAACTTCACGCCTCCAGAAAGCTTTTTGCAATCCATCCCATCCGCAGATCTCTTTTCCGTTAGAAGCTAATAATGTCTGATTGAAACTATCCCTGCCCCTCCCCAATCTAGAAATGATTTGGGCGAGGAAAACCACCCGCAGCAGAGTGAGTGCATTGCCCTGGAGGTATCTCATGTATGGCTTCATCCTGCTCGTGTTCATGGGATTCGCAGGGGCTGTGGTCCACTACTTCGCTGTCCCACAGACATGGCTCAAGACTTACGTGGAAGGTAAAAAAACAAAGTTTGAATTAATTTACCGCACTATACAAAACTTTTAATAATTATTATTGACCGAAGGGTTTCCCGAAGAGTTCTAGTAGTCAAAAAGCGGCACACCTGAACAAGCGTGCTCAAAAAAAAGGTGAATCTTAATTTCAGATCAAATAAATTATTGTTTGATTACGTTAACATATAGTTGCATAAAGTTTTTGACAAAGTCTTGGTAGTCTGTAATAACCATTTTGTAAAAGTTTATAAATAACTAATTTTTTCTGCTAAAAATTGTATGCAATTAAAAGGAAACGTCTCTGGGACTTCTTCATACAATAAGCCGACAAGAAATAGATGGCAAAATGGTTTTGGCTTTACAAGTGCTTGATATGCATTTGTTCCTAATTTCAAATCAATATTTCTCATACAGCTTTTGTCTTGCAATGACTTGAACATAGTTTTCAGATATTTCACAGCAAAACATTTCAAAAACTGAATATATGCTATTTTCAACCATGATTTCACGTATGGATTCAAAATTTTATTTGAAACACATAGCCTTACCTGTTCGTTTTGCATTTTGTAAAATTCAATTGTGAAAATTGTTTGAGTATGATACTTGAAAGAAAAATGTTTGTCAATCAAAATACCTAAGCAATAAAAACAAGGAATATATTTAGTTTTTTTCTTAAAGTTTCCAACTTGTCAGATTTGCTTGCCCCTCAATTCATGTACTGACTTTTTGCATCGTTGATGGTTTTAGCTGAGTTTTATATTCTCATAAAAAGACCATTTTGCAGTTGTTCAGCATAAAAATTGTAGTATCTTCAGCAAAATAAACAACCTCAACTAGCAACACAATGTCAAATTGTTCATATACATCAGAAAAAGTAGCGGTCAAAAATTACTGAATTTTTTACTGAAGTTCATTAAGAAATTCAGTCAAAAATTGGCTCACAAATTGGCTCACTGAGCCTTGCTTTACACACCGGGAAATTGGTTTGTACTCAGATTTATGACATGATCATATCGCTAAGTATTTTGACATATTGATATCAACCAACAAAAAAAAATGTTTTCAACAGGACCAAAGTTTTCCCGCAAACTACATTACAATCCAGCTTTGCAATTTAAAAAATCTGTGATTTACATTGCCAAAACTACCAAAATTTGGTTCGTCAACTACTTCACGCATGGTTTCAATGAATCGAGTTAAATAACCTACACCTGAAATTTCTGATTGAAATGCAAATTGTTTGAACGAAATGAAATTTTTCTTCTTAATAAATTGAAACATTTGATTATAAATTTTTTTCTCAAAAACTTTCGCCAAAAGAATGACAGTAAGCTAATTGGCTTGAATTATCACACTCTTTTGGATTTCAGGCTTTATAAATCTGGACATTTATTGCTAATTTGAGGTGTTTCGGAAAAAAGCCGTATATTATATTTTCATTAAGACCTTCAGTCAAAAGTTGACTCATAAAAATTTATACAATGTTCAGAACTTCATTTGTGAAGCCATCATTTCCACTAACATTTTTATTTCTAATGTTTTGTAGAATCATTGCAACTTCGTTTGCAAAAACTTTGAAAAATACGCAGTAATTTCTAGTACCTAGCAACATTTTAAACATTTTGGGATTTTTAAATTTGGCTACAAATTGCAAACCAATCTCTGCAAAATAATTGAAGTTTTCTGGTATCAATTTCATTGTGAATTAGTTTGCAATTCTTGCAGATATGGTTGAAGGCTTAAAAAACAGATTTAGAATGATCAGATGCTTAGAATTTTTTAAATGTTTTCCCGTAACCGTATTTTTTTTTCTGACTAGCTTCGTTACTAGTTAAAGCTGTTTTTCAAATTGACCATGAACTTTTTTCGTAGGATCATGATTCCAATTACGGAAAAACGTGTCTTGTTTTAAAGAAACATATGTGACATGTTGCTTCTGTTAATTTTTCTGGTTCGTTTTTTGCTTTGTAAAGAAATTTGTGTGAGCAATTTAAATAATTAGCTCTCGAAAGTTTTTTTCCTATTTTTTTTTATATAAAATTTTCTTAAAATTGATGAAATAAGACATATGTTGAAAAAAAATATATGAAAACCTGCTCGTATCGATCCGAATTAGGGAATGTTCCAAATGCTGTTTAAAACTGACAAAATTAAAAAATATATAAATTGGTTTTTGACCGTCGAAGAAAGTGACAGTGTATTTGGGCTCGGGTGGTTTTTTTCTCCAGTTAATTTTTGACTTTTTCTTTCGCTTTTTTGACATTATTTTTTTTTCGATATCATCTGAAAGGTACTGAATTCTTATGCTAATTTTTAAGATGATAGTTTGCTATGATCAGTTTTTGTAAGTTCACAGAGCTTGAAAAGTTCAACTTTAACTGCTTTTCGGTTACGTGGTTTTAAGCTTAACCGACCATTTAATTTATTCTAATTTGAATTTAAACCATTGGTTGTCTCCGCATTATCAGACTCAACTTATGACTTTTGATGCTTTACAAAAGTCGAAGAAAATATGATATTGTGGAATTTTATCCAACTATGTTATCAATTTTCGACACATACGTTTCTCAATGACTTTGGCTGTCGGACATTCAGGGCTCTGCGTTTTTCAGAGTAACTTTATACGAGCGTCTGTAAAGTAATAAAAATAGCAAATTGCTTGCCTCAATTCGATTAAGAATGATTCAATTTGCCGCTTACGTTTCAATAACACGAATGTATTATTACTTTGACGATTTTATTTGAAAATAGGATAGGCGAAGCGCAATATACTTCGTTCTATTAAAATGTAGCGGCATATTTACTGCGTCCAATTTGAACTATTGCAAGCAAATTTCTTTTACTACTTCGTTATCACACCCAAAACTTATCATTTGATACTTTACACAGCCTATGGTTGGATAAATTTAGGAAACAAAAATTTTTCGACAAAAATTGATCGACAATAGAGGGCAGTCGGAATTTTTACGGCTGTTGCGTTAGATACGATCAGTTTTGTTTCATTCAGGTGAATAATTGTTGCTTTTTGAGAATTTATTCAACGAGAAAGTGTTGAAAATTGAATTGAGAAAACGAGAAATTGTTGAAAATGTTTCAAATTGAAGACTTTTATAAAATTGAAAAGCATCTTTTCCTATTGCTTTTCAGCCCGGGTCTTGTGTACCTATACATAAATTGCCTCAGCGTTTTTTCTGTTTGCTTGTAAGAGACTGGTATTATTGACTTTCAAATTAGCAAAGAGTAGAAACTTTACTCCTAATATAGCAATTTACTTCTAAATAAGCAATTCCGTTCTAACTAAGTAACAAGACTGCATGTTCCAAGGCAAAGTTCTGATCGAAGGGTTTCCCGAAGAGTTCTAGTAGTCAACAAGCGGCACACCTGAACAAGCGTGCTCAAAAAAAGGGTGAATTTTAATTTCAGATCAAATAAATTATTGTTTGATTACGTTAACATGTAGTTGCATAAAGTTTTTGACAAAGTCTTGGTAGTCTGTAATAACCATTTTGTAAAAATTTATAAATAACCAATTTTTTCTGCTAAAAATTGTATGCAATTAAAAGGAAACGTCTCTGGGACTTCTTCATACAATAAGCCGACAAGAAATAGATGGCAAAATGGTTTTGGCTTTACAAGTGCTTGATATGCATTTGTTCCTAATTTCAAATCAATATTTCTCATGCAGCTTTTGTCTTGCAATGACTTGAACATAGTTTTCAGATATTTCACAGCAAAACATTTCAAAAACTGAATATATGCTATTTTCAACCATGATTTCACGTATGGATTCAAAATTTTATTTGAAAACACGTAGCCTTACCTGTTCGTTTTGCATTTTGTAAAATTCAATTGTGAAAATTGTTTGAGTATGATAGTTGAAAGAAAAATTTTTGTCAATCAAAATACCTAAGCAATTACAACAAGGAATATTTTTTTAAGTTTTTTTCTTAAAGTTTCCAACTTGTCAGATTTGCTTGCCCCTCAATTCATGTACTGACTTTTTGCATCGTTGATGGTTTTAGCTGAGTTTTATATTCTCATAAAAAGACCATTTTGCAGTTGTTCAGCATAAAAATTGTAGTATCGTCAGCAAAATAAACAACCTCAACTTGCAAGACAATGTCAAATTGTTCATTTACATCAGAAAAAAAAGCGGTCAAAAATTACTGAATTTTTTACTGAAGTTCATTAAGAAATTCAGTCAAAAATTGGCTCAAAAATTGGCTCACTGAGCCTTGGTTTACACACCGGGAAATTGGTTTGTACTCAGATTTATGACATATTCATATCGCTCAGTATTTTGACATATTGATATCAACCAACAAAAAAAAGGTATTCAACAGGACCAAAGTTTTCCCGCAAACTACATTTCAATCAAGCTTTGCAATTTAAAAATTCTGTGATTTACATTGCCAAAACTACCAAAATTTCGTTCGTCAACTACTTCACGCATGGTTTCAATGAATCGAGTTTAGTAACCTACACCTGAAATTTTTGATTGAAAGGCAAATTGTTTGAACGAAATGAAATTTTTCTTCTTAATAAATTGAAACGTTTGATTATAAATTTTTTTCTCAAAAACTTTCGCCAAAAGAATGACAGTAAGCTAATTGGCTTTAATTATCACACTCTTTTGGATTTCAGGCTTTATGAATCTGGACATTTTTTGCTAATTTGAGGTGGTTCGGAAAAAAGCCGTATATTATATTTTCATTAAGAGCTTCAGTCAAAAGTTGACTCATAAAAATTTATACAATGTTCAGAACTTCACTAGGGCAAACAGATCTAATCATGGAAAGAAGCCTTAAAATTTTTTGCACTTGGATGAATCTATCCGGATGAAAATAGTCAACGGTAGTCAGTTTAAATGAACTGGAGTATTTATAGTTAACGAAGCACAGTTTTTTGAAGTGGTCTCAAAATTAATTCTGCTTCCTGGGAATTGCAGATGAGCTATCAGTAGGCTTTAACGGGCTAATCGAAGAATAGTCCATTTTGCACT